CCTCCATTCTACCCGAGTCAGCTAATCCAGTGACCCACTTTGCTGCAGTAACCCAGACACACAGAGTACTGTCACTGGACTCCCAGACAACTACTTCAGTAAACAACTTTATCCCAGTAAATATAGCACTCTGCCCCAGCACACAGACTACTGTCACTGGACTCCTAGACAACTACTTCAGTTACCAACTTTACCCCTGTAAATATAGCACCCTGTTCCAGCACAATGGCAGCTCTCAAAGTTCACGTCTACCCACAAGTTCTGTATCCTGTACTTTCTGTCAGTTCTGACAAAGACAATCATTCCATGACGTCAAACCTTCCAGTAATTTCAGTCGCAGTCTACCCCAGCCTTGTCACCGTCACAATGTACTCCAGTGTTCTCCTTTTTGTGACATGACCAGACTGTCTCATTCTAACAAAGGCAATCAGTTCTCTTCATGAGTCAGTTTATTTCCAGACATCATCAGTCTGTCTGTCCAGGGTAATCTTGTCATTTGTCTATAAAACATCATCTGTGCCGTTTCCAAATAATCAGCACTAGCCGTCTGGCCAGAAATCTTTAGGCTCAAAGATGACCACACTACAAAAGATGTAAACAAGGTCAGTAATGGCATTTTAACAAAAATGGCCGTTAGTACTCATTCTAACCAAGGTTAGAACTGAAACAGTGGTTCTGACATTAACTAACCATTTCCATTTCATTTATCTCCATACATGCATCAGTCTTTTCTCACTGATCATACAAGGAGAATCTCAGCACAGTGCACAAACTCTCACCACAGATGATCCAAATATGTCTACAAACAGAATCAGACATGCAACAGATATCCTGTCCATACATTTTCTAATGTCAACATTTAACACTTATCAATAGTTAATATAATGTCAACAGTTTACACCCACATCTGGGTAGATCGAATGTCTAGTTTACTACCCCAGAATCAGAAGGAAGTTCAACATCATCACCATTATTTCTGAAAAATGTGGTCAACAGTGAATCAAACCAGGCCCGCTAAAGCCACATGTGGCTGACAACAAACCCAGACCAGGCCTGCTAAAGCCACATGTGGCTAACAACAAATCCAGACCTGGCCTGCTAAAGCCACATGTGGCTAACAACAAACCCAAACCAGGCCTACTAAAACCACATGTGGCTGACAACAAACCCAGACCAGGCCTGCTAAAGCCACATGTGGCTGACAACAAATCCAGACCTGGCCTGCTAAAGCCACATGTGGCTAACAACAAACCCAAACCAGGCCTACTAAAACCACATGTGGCTGACAACAAACCCAAACCAGGCCTGCTAAAGCCACATGTGGATGACAACAAACCCAGACCAGGCCTGCTAAAGCCACATGTGGCTAACAACAAACCCAGACCAGGCCCGCTAAAGCCACATGTGGCTAACAACAAACCCAGACCAGGCCCGCTAAAGCCACATGTGGCTAACAACAAACCCAGACCAGGCCCACTAAAGCCACATGTGGCTAACAACAAACCCAGACCAGGTCCGCTAAAGCCACATGTGGCTAACAACAAACCCAGACCAGGCCTGATAAAACCACATGTGGCTGACAACAAACCCAAACCAGGCCTGCTAAAGCCACATGTGGATGACAACAAACCCAGACCAGGCCTGCTAAAGCCACATGTGGCTGACAACAAACCCAAACCAGGCCTGCTAAAGCCACATGTGGCTGAGGATTTGAACCTGAGTCTCCAACTTGAAAGCCCAGAGAACTAACAGTTTGGCCAACCATTCCTGCAAACAGCATCATTGGTTTAAACGACACACAAAATATGGCACAAGCAGTGCACGTCTAGCACCAGTATTTGGTGAGAAATCTATGGTTTATGACAACACAGCAATGGTGTGTGACAATGCATGAATGTTCAGGACAAACCAGTAGTTTGTGACAAACCAACAGTTTACTGCGGGCTGTGTTCTGTGACAAAATAATCATCACAAGTCTGGTTTGTGACAAACTTCTTCATGACAATGAATTAATGCTTTGTGACAATGCATCACAGTTTTGCAATAAGATTCATTGTTTATGACAACATAATGGTTTACGACTGCCTTTCAGTGGTTTGTGACAACACACTTTTTACAATGGCTGATGTCAAATCAAACAGTTTAAAAGCTGTGTCCGGCAGGGTGTTGGAGTCCTGAGATTTCATGTATTCTTGCCCAAAACAATCAACGAAATGAACAATTTGTGTTTATACAAAATATATACATTTGAATGAGGTCACATCATTAAATTACGGCGGGAAATACACACACACATAATTCAGTCAATAAATAACCACAGTCACAAAAAAGCTACTTTTGACAAGACTCCAGAAGCTGTCTGCGATTCGTGTCTAAATCCTGTAGCCTGCTCAACGGAGCTCAGATGTTTTACTACCACATGCACGCCTGCTGCTCTCTCTCTCTCTCTCTGCTTGACTCCAGACAGTTTCCTTACTGCTGAGAATCTGTCTTTGCCTGATTATTCATAGTGATGAAACAATGTCACTTAACTAACCTGGTCACCCATACAAGCTACTTAACTGAAACATCTGGTTGCGTCCAATTTCCTGTAATTGTCAATCTTCCGACTTGTCTTGAGCAATATTATATTAGCTACAAATAGCATTTAAGGGTGTGTTTTGCTCTGAACCAAATTGTCTTTTTTTTTAAAGCCAAACTGGCGTCAAACATTCCCACAAGCCTTGATGATGGAGGACAAGGCATGAGTCGCCTGACACGGTTTTATGTCTCAGACAATGCATTCACTTTAATGCTTCACTCTGTGTTTATTGATAAACCTCTTGATATATTTCAAACCAAAACATACACAATGTAGAAACATGTTTAAAAAATTTCATTTATAAGTGAACTGTGTAAATTTTGTTATTTCTAAAAGTATTTGTTTTGGGGGAATTCTACTTATGTTATGGCTTTTTGTTTTTTTACAAAGGCAACATGGTTAAGACAAGCCATTATGTGCTTAGTCTCTCCCAATCAAAAGAATGTTGATGTGGACTGTCCCTGTAGACAGCTGTTCAGCCACAAGTTGACGCCATGCCTGACACTGATTAATACAACCAGCTGCACAATTGCCCAACTCAGCAGTTGTATTAAGCAAGTGTGAGGGATCTGCATCAAGCTATCATTGACTGCTGCAGGCAGCTGCTTGACTCAAGCCTTCATGTTAAAAGTTGTGAAATGTGAACTGCTGCCTAACAAACAAGGCTGTAGGTCGAGCAGGGAGGTCTCACTGAAGTCCTGGATGCTCCATCCCACATAAGACCTGTCTGTAGCATCTTTAATGAACACTCCTGGGACATGACCAGGTGGAAGGCTGAGGTTTCCTAGCAAGCTAAAGCCAGACATTCTCTGAAGGCCACACTGTGGCTGGAATTACACACAGGAAAGGAAGAAATGGTGCTCTTAGATTCTGCTATCTGCCTCCAAGTAGTCATCATCACCTCCAAGAAGTCATCACCACCTCCAAGATTTTATCATCACATGTCACAGAACAACTTTTTATGTGCAGACTGGATTAAGAAGAGAAAACGATGTTCTAGAAGATTTAAAAAAAAAAAATTCCTAGACATCACCATAGTTAGGAAATGTAAACATTTTGGAGATAGTAAAGACCAGAGTGGTTTACAAAGAACACTAATACAAGACTTGGTGTCTGTAAGAGGCATGGGTGACCAGCTTAAAAAATGACACAGAACATGAACGATACTTTGGGCATGAAAAGGAAGCTTCGGAGCCAGCTTTGAAGTCTGTGATAAGCGCAAGACTTGACGTTACTAACAGATGAACATGAAGAGAAGTTAACTATCAAATACTGAGGCATATTTACACTTGCTAGCAAAACAATGAGACAGTTAAGGCAGGCACAATGATTAGGCGCCAATACATTTCATAAGAAATAAAGCCCCTTTTGGGGTGAATACTACAATCAAAGGTTTATGTAAGAATTGTGACACTCACTGGAATATCTCAAGCAAAAGTTCAATGTCTCGTGATTTCTACTTCAAGAGGTATTAGTATACCTATTATCTAACGAGATTCAGTCAGTCCCTATCATCCTACAAGCATCAATCAATACCTATCACTTGCTGACTTCTGGGACAGATTTGTGTACACTTTCCATATGGCCGCTGATTTCAAGAAAGACGAGTGACAAGGACAAGGTCAAACACTGTAGCATCACACAATGTCAAACACTGTAGCTTCACACAATGTCAAACACTGTAGCATCACACAATGTCAAACACTGTAGCATCACACAATGTCAAACACTGTAGCATCACACAATGTCAAACACTGTAGCATCACACAATGTCAAACACTGTAGCTTCACACAATGTCAAACACTGTAGCATCACACAATGTCAAACACTGTAGCATCACACAATGTCAAACACTGTAGCATCACACAATGTCAAACACTGTAGCATCACACAATGTCAAACACTGTAGCTTCACACAATGTCAAACACTGTAGCATCACACAATGTCAAACACTGTAGCATCACACAATGTCAAACACTGTAGCATCACACAATGTCAAACACTGTAGCATCACACAATGTCAAACACTGTAGCATCACACAATGTCAAACACTGTAGCATCACACAATGTCAAACACTGTAGCTTCACACAATGTCAAACACTGTAGCATCACACAATGTCAAACACTGTAGCTTCACACAATGTCAAACACTGTAGCATCACACAATGTCAAACACTGTAGCTTCACACAATGTCAAACACTGTAGCTTCACACAATGTCAAACACTGTAGCTTCACACAATGTCAAACACTGTAGCATCACACAATGTCAAACACTGTAGCATCACACAATGTCAAACACTGTAGCTTCACACAATGTCAAACACTGTAGCATCACACAATGTCAAACACTGTAGCATCACACAATGTCAAACACTGTAGCATCACACAATGGCAGTTTATACACAATCCAGCGTTAAAACATTTCGGGGGCTTGGGCAGCTGCTGAAGTGCTGAGGTAACTGGAGCAGCCAAAGCTGTTCTTGCTGCCCTGGTAGGAAAACTGATCAAAATAAGGCAGGTGGCCATCCTCAGATATCGTGTCTAGCCTGCTGCCAACAAGGTGGGAGCCTGGGGTGCAGTGGAGCGGCTCCTGGGCAAACTCTTCAGGGATGTACTTGGTATCCCAATCATCGACCACATCTGGCTTCCATGGAGGAGGGATCTGTAGAAAGTATATCAGTAGAAACAATGAAACATGACCAACAACATAATCTCATATCTACACAAGTAAGTAAACATGTAGATAATACATGACTTGTTTGTTAAGGGAAACTTGCAGTTCAGTGTTGTTTTTTTTGTTCCCCACTTTCTGTTCCACAGACTTTCAGTCATTTTCATCACAAACTGCTATTCCATGCCACACAGTTCAGCACAATCTCTTGGATTTCCCCATGTCTCTCTGCTTCTTGGAGCTCCCCATGTCTCTGCCTCTTGGATCTCCCCATGTCTCTCTGCCTCTTGGATCTCCCCATGTCCCTCTGCCTCTTGGATCTCCCCATGTCTCTCTGCCTCTTGGATCTCCCATTGTCGTTCTGACTCTTGGATCTCCCCATGTCCCTCTGCTCTTGGATCTCCCATTGTCTTTCTGCCTCTTGGATCTCCCCATGTCTCTCTGCCTTTAGCATTTCATTCTTTTTTAGTACACCCCCCTCCCCCTCCCGATTCCTTTCCTTTATTAAACAAATTCCCCGTTTCTCCTCTCTCCCATTTCCTTCTTGTAATGACACATCTTTGTTTTCGTCTCACTGTGCCATGATTTAATGATGAATAAAATGTGGTAATTACTGCCCGTATGAAAATAACAAATTACTGGATATTTCAAAATACTGGAAAACGGATAATAAACTGAAACCATATACACACACACACACACACACAATGCACGCACAGCTTTTTCCCCCAGCTCATCAACAATATATTTTGTGAGAAAATCTAACAACTAGAGTCAAATATAATCACCTTTTTTGCTAGAAGGTCATCCCAATTGATGGAAGCAAAAAATGGATGACTTTTGATTTCTGCAACATCAGACTGTCCACCTCCAAGTCTGCAATATAAATATAATCCAGTTTCAGTTTAGAACTCAAGGTGGACACAGGAGAAACAAAGGCAGCTCAAGCAGGTCAGGTACAATATTCACTCAGTATGTCATTTAATAACTAACTGGCAACAATAATAAATCAATTACTGACAAATGTTAATGACTGACTAACCAGTGTCATCGAATGACTGACCAGTACAAGTGAATAACTGACCAATGTCAGTAAATGACTGACCAGTACAAGTGAACAACTGACCAATGTCAGTAAATGACTGACCAGTACAAGTGAACAACTGAGCAATGTCAGTAAATGACTGACCAGTACAAGTGAACAACTGACCAATGTCAGTAAATGACTGACCAGTACAAGTGAACAACTGAGCAATGTCAATGAATGAATAACCAGTACAAGTAAATAACTGACCAATGTCAATGAATGAATAACCAGTACAAGTAAATAACTGACCAATGTCAATGACTGACTAACCAGAATGACTGACCAGTACAAGTGAAAAACTGACCAATGTCAATGAATGACTGACCAGTACAAGTGAATAACTGACCAATGTCAATGAATTACTGACCAGTGTAATCAAATGACTGACCAGTACAAGTGACCAATTTCAATGAATTACTGACCAGTGTCATCGAATGACTGACCAGTACAAGTGAACAACTGACCAATGTCAGTAAATGACTGACCAGTACCAGTAAATGTCTGTTTGATAAATGATGATCTATGGCTCCTGCTTCCACATTATTAGGGCCTCTAGGCCCCCCTCTTCCCCCCCATGTGTGAGAGTCTTCCAAAAGCTGTCAGAAAAGTTAGCTGTCTATCATTGACAGGATGTTGCAGAACCAAACCCAGCATTTGTTTGGCTGTTGCGGATTCCAGACACATTTTACATTCAGTTGTTTATCACTGCTTTCTAAACGGTGAGATCTTGGTAGGACTGAGGAAACCAATGCAAGACGTTCTGCTGATTTCTTTGAAAGTCAGAGTGCATCTGTCTAGCAGGTGAGGAACCAACAGTTAGCAAATAAATAAGTCAGATCTGTAAAACATACCTGCATGCAAAACTAAAGTCCTGGAAGGAAACCAATGTCCAAAAGTGGACAAACAACCAGAACTTTCTGCCAGATAACACTAAGAATATGTTGACAGCAGCAGTAGGAGCCACAAGCACAGGAAGAGACTGGTCTCCTAACATCATCGTCTAGCATACGACATCACTAGCATACTACAGACCACGGTTATCCAAGTTGACTTAGCTAGGGACTAAAATGCTGAAAATGGGAGTTGTAACAGCTCAAGCCCAAGTGGAGAAAGATCCTTGGTGATACAACTGGTGATGATCTGGGGGCCACCTGCTAGGCCTCCATGGACCAGAGTTGGTCTGTGGGCCACCTGCTAGGCCTCAGTGGACCAGAGCTGGTCTGTGGGCCACCTGCTAGGCCTCAGTGGACCAGAGTTGGTCTGTGGGCCACCTGCTAGGCCTCAGTGGACCAGAGTTGGTCTGTGAGCCACCTGCTAGGCCTCAGTGGACCAGAGTTGGTCTGTGGGCCACCTGCTAGGCCTTAGTGGACCAGAGTTGGTCTGTGGGCCACCTGCTAGGCCTCAGTGGACCAGAGTTGGTCTGTGGGCCACCTGCTAGGCCTCAGTGGACCAGAGCTGGTCTGTGGGCGGCCAGCTGAATAGGTGTTACAGACGGGCACCAGTGTCTGACAGGTTTGGGTTTAAACAAAGGATCAACATTATGGCCAAGGGTAGTTACCCATCAGTGCTCTGTTCTACTTCTAACTCAATCCCGAGTCTGAAGAATCTCAGCACAGTGCACGAACTCCGTACGACCGGTGAGGATCCTGATATACTTTTGGTAGATTTTCAACTCCAAATTCAGCCCGGGCAGCGCCATCAGGCTACTCTTTTTGATTTCCAATTGTCAAGGGATTTTTTATGTGCACAACAATACATACGGGCATCTGATCTTACTATCCAGAGACCAGGGAAAATACTAAAAGTCCATGTGAAAAAATACTATAAAATGAAACATTAATTCTGGCGGAGGAATCACAAACCTGTCTTTTGGCTTCTTGGCCAGTAAACCGCTGAGTAAGCTCTTGGCTTCCTCTGAAAGGTTTCTTGGAAATTTGACATTCTGCAGCAAGATGAGTTCAAACAAAATGTCGTGATCTTTGTTGTAGAAGGGCAGTCGGCCACACATCATCTCATACATGACCACGCCAGTGCCCCACCAGTCCACGGCTCTCCCGTAGTCGTTGTCTTCTAAAACCTGCACCACAAAGTTCATCAATTCCAAAATAAATCAGTAGTTTCTGGAAACTGCTGGAAGAATCTGACACACACAAACATTCACAGAAAACATGGGGACACCAACAATAACAAAACTAAACACACCAACAGAGCAAAATAAGTTGTTATCAATCCAGCGGCGCATGAGCTTTCAACCTCTGGCCCAAAGCCATGTGGTGGAATTTGCATGTTTTCACAAGCTGTTCTTTTCCTCCGTACAAGGTGTTCCACTCGCCTGGTCTGGGAGGGAGTAGCATTCTTATAGTCTCGCCGAGTTTTGGGCACTCAAAGAGATGGTGGTTAACAGTTTCATGACAGCAAAAGTTGATGTGTCTAGTAAATAACTGCAAAAACATAAAATATTTTAATCACTTAATCACGGAAAACCTTGGGGGAAAAAACCGGAATCTGGCAATTCTCGATATCTTTAGTAAATATACAATGGGTCAAAGGAAAATCAACAACAACAACAACAACAAACATCCTTGTCATGCCACTGACGACTTGGGAGTACCGAGTTAGACCCAATATTTTGCACAGACTAACAGGCACTTCAAAGGTCTGGTCAACACCGCATGCGATGACTGCCTTTATGCCACATAACTCTTCTTGGCACCATTTTAGGTTGCTCAAATTTGGAGCCCAGGTCAATTAAAAATAACATTCATCTCAATATGGATTCCAAACCAAATCTTCAGGCAGGCAAGAGGCATTACCCTGTGGTTCTCATAATAGACTGAACATGGCAGACATTTTAATAAAACAGAAGACAGAAAACAGCACTGTGTCAAGGGTACCTCTGGCGCCAGGTATTCTGGAGTCCCACAGAATGTGTTGGTACTGGCTCCAAAGAACATCTGCTGCTTGCACAGTCCAAAGTCAGCGATCTTGATATGACCCTCTTTGTCCAACAGCAGATTCTCCAACTGGAAGTGGACACAACAATCAATATTCTGCTGCAGCCACATCTCTACTTTAATCTGAGCTACAGCTACAGCTGACAGATAACACTACTACCTTCATGTGAGGCATTGCTATAGCTGACAGATTAGCTTACAGATAAAACTGCTACTTTCATGTCAGGCATTGCTACATCCAACAGACAATAAAATTCTTTCATGTGAGGCATTACAGATAATGAAACTTTGATGTGTGGTATTGCTACATCTAACAGATACAACTTTTATCAGAGGTACTGCTAAATCTAACAAATAAAACTATTATCAGAGGTGTTGCTGCGTCTAACAGATAAAACTTTTCCGTCAGGGGTGTTTTTATATCTAATAGATAATAACATTGCTTTTATCTGTTGTTGCTACTTCCAACAAACAATAAAAACTAATTTAATCAGAGGTGGTACATCTAACACGAGTCCTCCGAGTGAAGTCTGCCCAAAAAAGGGTTTCTAAGATATCATAGCCGTGAGGCTGACTTTCTTCATCGGCCGGCATGTTTACATCCATGTTCCCTCGCTGTGTGTGTTGTAAACACAGCCTTCATTAACTATATTTAACTGTTTTGTGGAGTGTGACTGTAAAATAAAAATGCCTAGGAAATGCAGTATTCATTTATTTAAGTCCAATTATAAAATCGACAAGTGAATATGTGACTGCATTTTAAAATCTTTCCTGAACTACCAGCCTTCTTATCAACCAAAGTCCCACAAACTTGCAAGATTCCTGAAAACGAGCTTTAGAAATAGTCAGCAGAAATTAAAACAAGACCAGCCAGTGGCTGTCCCTGGATAAATAATATACAGGATTTTTAAACTCTGCAGTGTCAGATTACAGCAAAATTAAAAGACTGCTCAGATAAGAACTGAAAAATGTATACTATCATAGAGGGTACATCATGTTGTCTTGTAGTGTACACAATCAGTGTGAAAGCAGACAGCCTGTAGTGTACACAATCAGTGTGAAAGCAGACAGCCTGTAGTGTACACAATCAGTGTGAAAGCAGACAGCCTGTAAAGAATTTGACTGGATTTTTACTAAAAATAAATTGGAAAGATGGTGGCAACTAGAAAATCTACTGATTCATTTCAAGGAGACTGACCCTGCGACCTCTCCGAAGAATGTCGGTGATTTATTAGAAGAAGATTGCAATAACTTAGATATTGCTAGAGAACTGCTGTTATCATCTGAGGACACTAATGCACAGAAAACTGAAAAGCAATTAATGTTTATCACAGAGCAGCTACAACTGATTAACAAGAGCAATTAATATACTTCTGCCTAAGGGGCTGTTACATCCAGCAAATAAAACTACTTCTACCAGAAGTGTTTCTGAACAGACTATTTTTACATGACATGATACAACTCTCATTTCAGATGTTACTGTTTATACTTTCCCATTTAAGTCCCTAACTTCACATTTCTCTGTACACCAAACGTTTCTCATGTAAGTCCCTACCTTCACATTTCTCTGTACACCAAACGTTTCCCATGTAAGTCCCTACCTTCACATTTCTCTGTACACTAAACGTTTCCCATGTAAGCCCCTACCTTCACATTTCTCTATACACCAAACGTTTCCCATGTAAGTCCCTACCTTCACATTTCTCTGTACACCAAACGTTTCCCATGTAAGTCCCTACCTTCACATCTCTATACACTATACATTCCACATTAAGTCCCTATCTTCACATCTCTATACACTATACCTTCCACATTAGGTCCCCATCTTCACATCT